CCTCCCCCCCCCCCCCCCCGCCACGTCCTCTGCAAGGAGTGCAAGGTTACTCCGTTTCTTTCCTCTGCCTAGCACCTTTACCTATCAGATGGTTTTAGGGTTTCTCCTTTTTTCTGCAGAGCTCGACACCTCCCCAGTGGCCAGCAGCTCCCTGTCGGAGGTGGTTAATGCCATTGCACCAGAGAAAGGACAAAGATACCATTTGGTGCAACTTATTCATTGGACTTCAGTATTTCCATGCCCTGGTGGGGGGGGGGGGCAAACCTTTGCAAATTTGAAAGCACAAACAGGCTTTAAAAATCCCTAAGCAGGAACCCGAGAGGTCAACGTTTCTAGCCCAGTGTTCAGCCCAGAGCGTTCGGGCCGTGGGTTCTTCTCCCACATTTCTCTGATGGAGGAAGCCGCTTCAGAAATGATTTAATGATTCTTTCCCAGGAATGCCATTTCTGAGAGCTCCTGGACAGCCTGAGTCGACAGCTGACAGAGGCAGGAGGACGCTGCCTTTCCATCTCTGTGCTGGAGGACATTGGCCTGGGAGTGACAGAGAAAGGGCACGCAGCCAGGCAAAAAAATTATATTGGCTGATGATTATACAGGCAATATAATATTATAGAGGCAACAACTGCCAGGGCTAGCAGCGGGTCTCCTTGGGCAACCAAGGAGGCAGTTATCCAACAGGGCTTCATTGCTGAGGCCTGGCTTCTCCCTTCCTGTCCTGTATTCCAGCAGAACAGGGCAGTTGCATTCAGGTCCCCCATTCCCAGAATGCAACGGAGTAACGCTAGCTTAAGGGCATTGTGGGAAATGAAAAGGGCATTTGTCGGCCATTCGTTGCACCTTGCTCAGCACCTCCTCCAAATTAGATCCACCAGAACAAATCGGGATCCTGCAGCTCCAGGCAGAGGCCACGCAGAAGAGCAGCACAGGTCCACATCCTCTTCTCCTGGGGACCCCCTGGTTTTGTGTAATGCTTCTGGGTCAAGAGTCTAACCAGGCAAACCCACCTGTTCTGTAGGATTTGGCACCGTTTGACATCCCACCCTATCCTTCTTCTCTGCCTCTGTCTTGCCGTGAAATTGCCTCTGGCCAGAGCGTAGACTAAGATCTCTTTCAGGCCCAGATCAGAAATTAGGCTGAGCGGTCTTCCCCCGCTCCACCTGGCTTGCCCCCTTTCTGCCCTCCAAGCAAAAAACTCCAGGCCCTGAATGGCAATATGGGACGTTCTTGATTTAGAGGAGGTTCCAACTGGCTGCATAAACCATGTTTGCACCGTGGTGATGTGAAATACGCCAGGAGGGTGAGGAATGCTAGCGACCTGGGTCCTGGGCACACTTCACGGCTGTGCACACCAAAGCCACAAGGGCACCACTGCTTGGAACAGAAATATTTGTGCAACAGCGGGGGGTGGGACTTT